TTTTACTTATTTCTGTACGCATCATTTTTAAGGTTTATTCACATATAGGGTACTTAATACCGATACTAATACATTTCTTTTATTTGTATTAGATAATATAAGTCATTATACACGCGGCTTATCATTAAATTTTTAAACGATCCACGTTTAACATTCACAAGGAACGTTGTCTAACTTTTTAGTAACTTTGAAAAATTCACCTATTTAATCTCTAGTACGGCAGTATAGAACAAAGTCTGATGGCACGTTATGTTTAAAAAATGCAATTACTAAATATTGTTTTTCGTAAAAATAATTTCGCTATTTTTATAAATAATCCATAAAAGAAAGTAAGATTACATAAAAAACTTCATCTATACATAGCAGTTATTCTAATATTTGAACTAACACTATCCTAACCTAATTTGCAGTTTGAACGGAAAAGTGGATTTAAGAATATTTTAGTGACATTAATTAGCGGGATAGCAAATACATCCTTATATATCCGTCAGTTTACTTATATGATTAATAATGATGAGTAATAATAATTCATACGAAAATTCCTTAAATTACAATTTTATTTCAAATTATTAAATCATTTAATCATATTAAAAATATAAATGTATTACTATACATGTTATTAAATAAAATCACATTTTACAATATATATATCATTTGATAGGAAAAATTTTCATTAATCTAATTTACACCTTTGCCCTACAAAAAACGATTTTTATTTTTAAAAAATGTATTCCCATACTTAGACTAAATAATATATTTCAACAATTTGGAACAATATTTTAGTCACTTAAGTAATTGATATGTATATGTTTTTATTCATATTTTTATATAAAGCATATAATACATATCATTACAATAAATATTTTTATAAACATTCGTGAATACTTTAAAAGTTTTTAAGAAAATACATCAAAATGTTACATATATATCTGTATATTTAATATTACAATGTTTTTAATGTCATAATATGCATAAAAAGTTATACTTCAAATATTTAAAATTTATGTCAATTTGTTATACTAAATAAATTTGAAGTCTTATATGAATAACATACAAATGCTTTGGAATGTATAATTCATTTTTATGTATAAAATATAAATCTTATGTCACATAGAAAAATATCTATAATATGATAATCATATTTTTAAAACAGATACCTTTTTTTCTTTTAGAACAAAGTTCATTATAATTTTTAGATACATGAAGATTAAACTATACATATCCTGCTTTATCTTTATATTATCTTAAGTACAGTACCTTTTTTTACACAAAAAAAAGTTTAATATTTTTTGTAATTTTCATCTTGATTTAGATGTGATGTATTTGTTCTGAAAAGCAACATGTTTTGAAAAAACATTTTGTTGTCATTTCATAGTTATAACAATGTGAACATTTGATATAAACAAAGCTATACTACAATATTTTAATATTGTGTTATCAGTTCCTCTTTTTTTAGTAATTCTTTTTTGAAATTTTTCATTTTTTTATACATATTTTTTAGGTATAGTATTAAAATATATCATTTGTCAAGTTTATTATCTATTTTCTTTAGTTGCTTCCTCCTCCCACTCTATACCTGGCCTAATAAATTCTAAATCACTAGCATCATCAGAACTTGACATATTGTCATCATCAAAATATGGTTTTCTAATTTCATTATTCTGCATATGCCCTGAAAACATAAATTAATATTAAAAAACATGTTTTCAAAATTTCTATGCACACCTAAAATATACTCGTGTGATATTTTTCAATTATATTAATATTTACCATTTAATGGTCTTCTAAATATTTCAATTTCTTTTTCATCATCATCAAAGAAACTTGTACCACCTTTAAGTAAACTAAATGCATATCCATTCCAATTAGGTTTTTGTGAATTCTTGGAAGACTGACAATTGGCACAAATAAAGACAGAGCATGCAATAAGTGTCAAACATACAGTACCTACAAAAATATAATTGTATTATAATATATTACTGTAATTGCATTATAATTTATGTTATTGTAAATATATGTTATAAAAATATTGAATTTCTTACTTGTAAGTATAATAAAAACGGTTCTGGGCATTCCCATATATTTGTCATCATATGTTAATTTAAATATTAAATGTGAAATGTTGTGTACATCTGGTGTAATGAAGATCTTTGTCTGTTGAATATATCCTGATGCACTAGCACTTACAACATGAGTACCAGGTTGAAACAGAAGCCAATAAACACCATTCACTCCATTTCTAACATGATGTATTGATTTGTTATATAATAAAATAGCATTTTCAACTGGCTCATTGTTCTTACTAAGGACATATCCTTTTACTCCGTCATTAAGTTTTTCTATCATCGCTAATAAACTAGCTTTATTATCATCCCATACATTTCTTGAATCATCTGTGTTACAACAAGTAATATATACATCTATCATTAATGTACTTGTATTTAGATAAAGATGATCCATTAAAGAATGTTCTCTTTCTCCATTTATACCCATTCCAGCATAAACAACACCATTAGTATTTATATGCAAATTGTGATTACACTGTGGTTTTTTTGAAGTCATATGGATATTATGTTTTGTATATGATAGTGCCAAATCTTGTAATACATCATCATCATCAGTTTTATATATCTCTTCAGGTACTTTTCCATATTTTCCCGTGAACGGAATTTCAATATGTTGTGAACCAATGTTTAAATTTATTGCCAATACTGTGTTAACTTTTTTAAACCAATTAATTATCATACTTGCTTCAGTATTTAGTGCATTATTAATGGGAAATTCTAAATTATCCATAATCAATGAGGAACAAGATTGATTGTTAGTAAAATTTTGAGATAAATTTGGTGCAATATATATTGTAAATTTGTCTAAATAATTTTTAATTCTACTATCTTTCCTATAATGATCTAATAAATATGTTGCAAAATGCAATAAAATTTTCGAAGTAACAGGTGCACCATTTGAAATACCAGCCACAAAAGCTATAGATGGTCGACCAATGCGTTTATAATTATTTTCAGTTCCAATTTCTAAACACATTATTCGAATACCTTTTTGTGATTTACCAATAGTATGTAAAGTTGATAATTGCGCATATTTATTGTTTAGATCAGTTAAAACTTGATTCACGACATTTATTTCTTGATCTTCATTATCTTTCTGATGTTCTACTTTTTCTACTTGACGTTTTATCATTTTAACGTGGAGATCAGTTATACTTTCATTATAGACATGAACTTTCGCAGATTGTTCGATGTACCCTTCACAGAAAAATGTTAGTATATATTCACCAGGAAGCAGAATAATTTTGAAATAAGCCATATTTTTTGAAACATGATAACTATCGGTTCTAATTTTAACAATAGCCTCCCTCAAAGGAGTATTGTCAACATCTGTTATTACTGCTCGAATGCCAGTTGTAAAACCATGAATAAGTTGCATCAAAGGCAGTAAATTTTCACGCCAAATGGTTGAAATAGATTCTGCAGGTGGATACTTACAGCAAGCCATATTAATACTTATCTAAAAATACATACATACTATAGATTATAATAATTATATACAAATATCATAATAACATTTTAACAGTATACAATACATAAGTTTATTAAACAATAATGTAACAATAAATGTTACTTACTACTGGTATGTTATATCGATTTTTTATGTAATTTTGTACTCTTTTTGTATCATTAGGAATGTTGCAAGTTTCTTTATGTATTGAATATTCATAATTTTTGGCAAGTGTCGCATACACATTCGAAGTATCCTCTGTGCAACTAAAAATGAATATAAAATATTATAATTTTAAATTAAAACAACATACATACATGTATATAATAGAAATAAATATATTGTGTCAATACACGTACAAAAATTTAAACTTTCATTACCTAACTTCAAGTGCTCCACCTCCTAATAGTACTATCACATCATATCCTTCATTAGATAACATTGTTTTAAATGCATTAGTAATTGCATTCAATTTATCAGAATTAACATTATTTTGTAGCAATAATCTTTTGCCTACTTCATCATGCACAATAGCATTACAATCATGAACATCAATTATGTTATCAAAACCTGGATCTACACCAGGTACGAAATGCAACACAGTGTTGCTCAATATTTTTTGTATAGGAGGATCTCCAATTTGATTTCCCGTAAGAATATGAGTTGCTAATCGTAATAAAATTTCCCTACCAATTGGTTGAGATGCAAATAGTCCTCCAATTAAGCCAATATGAAATTTATTTTCCTCTGGTGCACCCATCTACAATTTTCAATCTTTTTATGTAATTTTAAAAAATAAGGTTTAAAGTTTTAAATACTCACATTTTTCTTTAAAGAAATACTTACATTATGTGTAATCTTTAGAGAATGTATGGCCATACTAATTAATGACTCTCCAGCTTGAAATTCTGCAATATTTTGTTGATGATTTTCCAACTGACTAAACCTAGCGCTTAATTCGGCATTTTTTAAGTAAGCATTCTGTAAATTTGCTATTAATCGAAAGTCGTAAGCAGATGACCTGAAATAGAAAATTATATCCTTATTAATATTTATTTAAAAATTCTACTTTTTAAAATACTTGATGACAATAAAAAGCATTCTAATAATTTGCTCTACTTCTATTAAAATAAAATTGTAATTTATCTTGTCATATCCAATTGACAACATATGAATGTATTTACATAATATTTTTTGGAATTTTTAAATTTCTTCATAAAATGACATTTTTATGATTCTTTATAAAATACAATCCTTTTTAACATTTAATAATACTCAATACAAATACCATTATTCTGGAAATTGTAATGTTTATAAGAATTGTAGTAAAATATTTCCTATACTTATGATTTCTATAAAATTGTATAATATGTAATAATACCAATGTTGAGGATCATCTCGCATTAACGTGAAATCCAGTGTTACTTCTCCTTCTCTTATATGAACACCATCTGGTACTGTTACAGTTTGCATTTGGGATTCATATCCTACTGCACTAACTGTAACATTATATTTGCCAGGAACCAAAAGGCGCCAATAGTCTCCATCATTACCTGCATAGATATCATGTTTAATTCCTTCTACAGATATTTTAGCATGAGGTACAGGGTTTCCAATTGATGACTGTATTACACCATGTATGCCTTTACGAGACTGTAAATTAAAAAACTCAGTAACACTTATTAAAATGTCTTACACATTAATATGTATACACACTTTAGTATATTTAAATTACATTTATATGTATGTATAAATATGAATACCATTTCAATAAGACGTAAAAGAGATTCTTTATTTTCTAACCAATATTTTGGCAGCTCAATTGCATTTGGAAATTTTGTGCATCCTACTTCAACAGTGATTTCAAAATCATTACTGTAAACATAATTATAATCTTGCATGCCTCCATTAACAGAATACCAGGCAGCTCCATTAGTTATACCATTTGGAAAACTTTTTTCTAACACATTTTGTACTCGGCCATTAGAGGGGCACGGTTTTCCAAGATGCATACGAGGATGTGCATTTGAGTATGCTAATGCAAGGGCTTTAAAAACTTTATCATCTGGACTTAAGTTTTCAACATTAGATGTATATTTTGGCACATTGTCATATGGATAATTTGCTACCAATGCTCCTCCATGAAAATTAGCAGAAAGTACAAATGGAATGCTTGCAATCCAATCTATTACCGCTTTTGTTTCAGGTTCTTGTTCTTTGTTATACTGCAATATAAAAATATATTTAAAAATTAAAGTTGATGAAAGTCAGCAAATCAACATACAAAAAAAGCATATTAAACAAATTCAAAACTTAAACAATAAAAAAGTTAAAATTCATACATCGTTTGTTTCATATTGATCAGGAAAGTTTCTGTTGAGATCAACACCTTTAGCATTTGCTCTTCCCCATCCTCCATACACATCTCCTTCTTTAGATATTTCATAACCATCAGGGTTCATGCTTGGTAATACATGTAATCTTATATTTTTTAGTATTTTCGTAACCCTTATATCATTTTCAAAGTTTTCACAAAGGTATTTCAACAACAATAATAAAATTTCTCTGCCAACTACTTCATTCCCATGCATATTTCCTATATATTTTACTTCCGGTTTATCTCGGCTATGTTTTCCAGGATTTTCTGTTATTTCCATAACGTATAACTGATGCCCATTAACAGACTCTCCTATACTATAAAGTCTTGTAATATTTGGATAATTTAAATTTAATTCTTTTAAGTACTTTTCCATTGCTATGTAATTATGATGCTTGAATTCCATATTATGAAAGAATCCATATTTGTTTACAGGATATAAAACTTCTTCAACTTTTTCTAAATTTAATTTTCATTTAAATTATCAAAAACCATAAGTTACAAAAAGTGTAGAATTACAAACTTTTTAAATATAGAAATGTTACAACACAAGGTGCAGAGAACATAAGAAATCAATAAAAGGAAAAATAATAAAACATTATTTAAAGTGCTATACTACTTAATGGATAAAAAAAATTATAGGAAAAGGCTGGAAAATATTTGAGAAAACTAAGTCACTGTTCAAGCAAATATAATACTTTATTTGTAATTTCAGATATTATACATTTAATTTTGATATATTATACTATACATCAAATTACAAATATAATCATAAACATTATTCTTTGTTTTACATTATTCCATTAACGTTAATAAAATTACACAATAGATATTTAAATTTCATACTAAAAACATTTGGGTATACTTTTCATATACTTCATATATTTTTTTCACCTTGTGTAAATGATTATTATATTACCTAAATTAAACTGGATAAAAAAAAAACTTTTATGTTTAATATAAAACTTTTCTTTTTTGTAAAATTTAAACCAGTTTTCATAGTACGAATGATTAAAAGTACGATTTGTGTAAAAGATATATTTAATACAAGTATTCTAAACATATACTAAAAAAAGTATCTTTGTATATACTTTTAGAAACATTATTTGTTAAACTATTTGTTTTTGAAAATATCTATGAATATAAAAGAGAGCATTCAAATAAAAAATAAATCACAGTTTACTACTTGGTCAATAACGTGAGTCATTTGATTAAAATAAGTTATGAATGTTATGAAAAGATATGTTCAGTGTACAGTAATGTTCAACTCTCCAATTCACATTTACAAATTATTCAGATCAATTATTTAAAAAATAATACACATTCATTGTGTGTAATATAACATTCATGTCTTTACAAATGTTATGTTTTTGTAATCAGATTACTTATTTTTCGAATTTAACGCATACAAATGAATTTAAGAAGTAAATAATTAAATATTTGAAAAATAAATATAAATACGAAAACAAAAATAATAAAAAAGATTAAAACATTTATCTCTCGCGTCTTTTTATACTTCAACTACTATGTTTCATAAATTAACAATTTTTAATGTAATTAATAATTTTTCTGCAGATAATAAAAGTTTGATATTTGTCTCCATACCTTGTGTGTACTTTTTTATATTTGTTTATACTAATAAAAACAAAACAATAGTAAAGTGTATAGGGGTATCAATATCTAATAATCTGAATAAATTTTAAAAGAAAATAAAAATATGTATAGATATAAAAAACGTTAATAATAGCTGTGCAATTGCACTTCTAAAACATAAATAACAAAATTTAATTCTTCACAAAAAAAAAAGATAAGAATATTTTAAATGCATATATGTAAACATAGTTAGTAATTCATATTATCATAAGATGACATTAGTTTATGAAATACAAGATACTGATTAAGAAGTGGTAGCATATGAAAAAGATCTGCATCCAGGTTACCTTGATCATCATAAGAGTCCAGTTTTAAGGTAAAATTCACAATGGTTGGGTCACCTGATTCTACTGTGACACTTATTGGTTCACTTGGTTGATATCTAAAATTGTAAAAAGTTATCTGTAAAACTTACTTGATAAAATAAAATAATATTTTTGTAGTACCTAAACATAGTAATCAAGTCTATGAAATGGATACATTTTATATTTAAATATACTCACCCCCATGCTTCAGCATGAATATAATAAGTTCCAGGTAGTAATAAACGCCAATATTCTCCACGATGTGTAGTTGAAACATTATGTTTTATTCCATGTACAACAATATTTGCTGCCTCTATTGGTTGACCATCTGAATCTCTTACAAGACCTAAAATTAAAACACAAATGTATACATCTTACAACTATTGATAGAGAATTATACTTAATAAACAGCTAATAACCTTTCACTCCAATATGTGCTTGTTCAAGATATTTTATAAGAGATTCCTTATTTAATCTCCAATATTCTGGCATTGCAGAAGCATTTGGATATTTACAGCAACTAAGTTCAAATGTTATCTCAAATGCATTAGAGTGAGCATAATTAAAATCTTGCATTCCTCCAATAACTTCATACCTACAGCAGATAAAATTTCATAACAATTTTCTTTACAAAATAATACTTCTCAAACATAAAAAATTCAAATATTCTTGCGTACCAATATGCTCCATTAGTAACACCACCTCGAAAAACATCTGGAGGGCATGCATTACCTGTGTGCATTAGTGCATTATTATCAGCATATGTGTGGGCTAGGTATTTAAACAACTCATCATCTGGACTTTTACTTTCGATACAACAAGGGCTTGAAATACTAAAAAATGATACATCATAAAACTTTTATAAAATGATAAATGAAACTTCATAATTTATGTTACATTTAAATCAAAAGTAAAAAGCATAGAAATATTACATCACATTACCCAGAATCATAAGGATAACTGGCTACAACAGCACCTCCATGAAGATTTCCTGATAATACAAATGGTTCTGTAGCAATCCATGTCATCATAGCTATTGTTTCATTTTGACGTCCATCTAATATATTGCTTCCCTTTTGGGAGTGAATGGTTCTTCTACTAAATTGATCTGGAAAATTTCTGTTTAAATCAACGTGATTTGCATTTTCACGACCTGAAAAATCTTTCTTTGATTCACACTTCCCTTCCTAAAAATAAATAGAAAAAACATGGAATTATTGTAGACATTTCAAGTAGTTTAAATCACAAAGGAATAGAATAATAAAATAAAAATGTTACCTCTGATTTTTCAAAACCATCAGGATTCATTGATGGCATAAGAAAGATATCAGTATTATTTACTAGTTTTGTAATTCTTTCATCTTTTCCATAATTATACAAAAGATACTGAGCAAGATATACTAATAATTCTCTACCAACAGCTTCATCACCATGCATGTTAGCAACATATTTCACCATTGGTTCACACAGTTTTCTTTCTCTAACATTTTCAGAAATTTCAAGAACTAATATGTCTCTACCTTCCACAGACTTTCCTATGGAAGACACTTTTGCCAAATTTGGATACTTCTGAGCCAATGAACTAAACAACTGTTGAAGTTCTTCATAATGTGTATAATGTGGAATGATAAAATTTTCCTCTAATTTATCTTCGGAATTTATTGCGTAACCATTAATAATTCCAATAAATAAGAAAATAAACGACACAATATTATACATAGTACTTATATGTACCATATTTGCATATGTGTTTGCGTAGAAATATAACAAATTTTATGATTTCAGTGAAACATTCTATACAGGGCAATATATACAATGTCGGTATAGCATACTGATGACGTCTGCAAGTACGAGCATGAGCAGAGTAGGGTAGGAGATTACTATAAACGATATATATATATATATATAGAGAGAGAGAGAGAGAGATAAATATATATATGTATGTATATGCACAAAATCTTTATTCCAGTTACACTAATATTACAAACAAATTTCTTCTTTTTCTAAAAAGACAGAATTTTTATTTGCAAATTATCTACGGTGTTTATTAGACACATTACTTTTAAATAGTTCGAAATTTTAAAGTCATGAAAACTTAAATCGTAAATAATACCAGACGATTCTTTGCATAGCGATACATGTGTGTATATGTGTGTGATATTTGTATCATTTTATGAAAAAAATCTTTTTCCACCTATGCTCTTAAATACACAGCAATACATACAATTAAAATAACTTTTGAATTAGTGAATTCCAATTGCGCAATTGGAATAAAATCTTTACGTAGACAAAAAAAGTTTATTTAAAATTAACATAAAATTTTTAATTCGAAAATATCTAGGAACATTTCATACAGTCTAAATGTAATATAGAGTGAATGATAAATTTAAATTTTGAGAAGTTTCTTTATAAATACGCAACAAATGTAATATTAAATGCTGCTCGCTTATGTTTTTTTTTATTTTGCAAACAATAATATTACATTAGATGTTAGAGACATGCGTATTTTGTTTAAATTTACATTTAAAAACATTAAAGAGAGGTTATAACTCCATGTTTTTGAGTTTTTTTCTTGATTACTTGAAAACGTGAAATATCATTATACAGTGTGATGTTTGCACATCAAAATTTTATAAGACTTTATTAAATAACATTTTACAACTATGTCTAGCAACAAAGAAGAAAAACAGTAAGTTACATGAAAATATTAATAACAAACAAACCTACAAAAACAAATGTCATTAACTATTCACAAAATTACAGATATGGTTTAATATTACCTAAAAAACAACAACCAGTTACTCCAAAAGTTAGCAATGTATTTGGTGATAATAATGACTCAGATGAAGAAGATGGTACTGATTGGGTTAAAAAAGCTCTTCAAGCAGAAGGAGAAAAAAATAAAATTAAAAAGCAAACAAAGTTAAATATGCAAAAGGCTTTAAAAGAAGATCCAACAATATTCCAGTATGATGAAATTTATGACGACATAGAGAGAATAAAAGATCAATCAAAAAATATAAAGGATGAAAAAAAGAAACCAAGGTATATTCAAAATCTTTTGAAAGCTGCTGAACGAAGGAAGAAGGAGCAGGAATACAGAATTGAAAGAATGGTTCAAAAAGAACGTGAAGCAGAGGGAGCAATGTATGCAGATAAAGAAAGTTTTGTTACTTCTGCTTATAGAGCAAAATTAGAAGAATTTAAAAGAATGGAAGAAGAAGAAAATAAAATGGATAGATTAGAAGCTATTGCAGATGTCAAAAAGCAACAAGATATGTCAGGATTTTATAGACATTTGTATGAACAAACTATGAAAACTCCAGAGGAATCTGAAATAAAAAAAAATATAAATGATAATAAAATGTATTCGAATAATGATTTAGAAAATATAAGTAAAGAAACAAATGCTGTTATAACCAATAAAGAACAAATTAAAAATAAAGAAATAAAAAAAAATAGACAGTATAGGCAAAGAATAATAGAAGAAGACAGCGATACAGATACAGACATTAATCAAACAGTGGAAAATAAAGCAAAAATTATTTTCCCTGAGAAACGTAAAGATATTGAAAAGGAACCTACAAAAATAGAACCCGATATGAAAAAACAAAAACAAATTGAAAATATTGAAAATGATGAAACACAAAATCAAGTTAAAGCAGAAAATATGATAAATTCAAAGGATATTGAAAAGGCACCAGAAAATAATGAAAATGATGACAAAGCTGAAAAAGCAAATATTAGTGCAAAAGCAAAAATAGAAGCAGAAAGAAGGGAACGATCAAAAATTTGGGAAAAAAGAACAATTGGTCCTGTATTTGAAGCAACATTGCAAAGATATTATGTTAGAAAATCTATAAGAATGTCAGCTGCATAGTAAATTGTAACTACTAAAAGTTTAATTATTTAATGTGTATGTATATGTATTTATGTATTCTAAATAATTTTTATTATTTTTTTACAAAAATGTATTTGTAATATAAGGTAAAGGTTTTTCGTTAATATAGAATTCATAGTACGAACTTAACAAAATTGTTAAAATTTGTGCGGAAATTGTATCAATGATATATTCAGAAAAACTTAAAAGACTTCTACAGTCAGAAAGAAATGACTCTACATTATGGTTATAATACACATGATGTGTTCTGTAATATCAATGCATAGTGACAAAATCATATATTTTTATCAATTTTCAAACTATTTTAATTATTACAAATATTTTCTAATATTCAAAAAATATCACCTTATTATGTTTGTAAGATTTTCTATTGAAAAATTGCGATATTCCTATTTTCATAAATAAAATGATTAAATAAGAATATCTTAAAATATTCATTTTATGCAACTTACTATAAGTCATATAATTTAAGTTTTTTTTTTTACTATACAGAGGATAAACTATATTATTTAGTTTTAATACGAAGAAATAAGTTGTGGCTTCATATATCCACTATCACCTAAACTTCTTAATGTTACTCTGCCATTAGAACGAATAGATATCCAGGTAATACTTCCATGATTCAAACGTAAACGTAACCAGCCTTCAGGTGGAAATTGCAGTGCTCTGAAATAAATAATAAATAAAAATGCATAGATTCTATATATTAGTATTATGAATACTTGAATATCGGTACGTAAATAAGGTATAAAAAAATAGTTTACCGGCATACAAAATATCTAATGACGTTTGCATGGCAAACAAGAATAATATAAGAATCCGTTTCCTGACTAGGTTCTGGACGATTATATGCTTACATGTATTTCAGGCTCCCAAATATTAATTGGTGGATCAGGTGGAACTGGCAAACCCTCACTAAGTATTGAATTCTCTTTAACTGTTACATTTTTAAGATATTTTTCTATAATTTTAGCAGTTTCTTGTGCTCTAGTCATTGTTGAATGTATAAGTAGAGTATATGGTAATTCTAATTCTTGTAATCTTTTCCCTGCTGCTTTAGCCTGTTCCTTACCTTAATGAAATGTTTAATGTTTCATAATCATTAATACTTATTATTTTTTTACATTCTATAATGGTTTTAAATACATAATAGTTTATTTATAGAGGAAAAAATTAATTCAGTTAAATATAACTTTTGGTATAACCATTTTATATAATATACTAATATGACTATAAATTTTGATAGTTATAACTTTTGATCTACTTAGTATTACTCATATTAATACAAAAATGATACATATGTGTAATTAGTAATATACAATAAGAAAACCAAATTGAAGAATACTATCAAAGTATAAATCATATATGAAAGACACTAACCAAGATTTGTAAGTGTTTGATCTGAATCTGTTTTGCCTTCTGTATTATACTGCCCATGACGGATTAAAATTATGTGATGCTTCATATTTGTTTTATTCCTAATTGATCGTTTTTTATGTGATTCTTTATTAGTTTCATTATTTGTTACTGCTGTATTTTCTAACCATTGTGGATGCCGTCTATAAATAAATGCAATATATTATAAATTGATTTTTGAAACAATAAAAACAGATTAAAAGCAGAAAGCAAACAATATTTTTCCTAACAAATTGATACTAATGAATACTAAATGAATGCTTAAAAAATAAACAGGATATATACATATACATATATGTATGTATACATTATATATGCATACAAAGCACATTTAAAAGAAAAATCCCTTATCATTCCATCATCATTTATTTAACTACACGTAAAAAGGAAAATGAAAGAAAACCTTTACTACATATAATCATTGATTTATAAAATTAATGATATTTTCTTAAATAATCATTAACAATAAAGTGTATAACCTATCCCAATTATGATCCCATTTGCCCCAAAATGAAGGAGGTGTTATCCATGAATGTTGCTTTTCCAACGATTGGTTATGATTATTATCATTTGGGTAAAAAAGCATTGCACCACCTAATGCACTAAATCCGGCGATCCATTTTCTAAAATTTGAAGGTATTGACATCGTTATAATAAATTATCACGATCAAATTTTTGTAATGATTAAAACCAAGCCTGCCCACGTGTGGAACGTCTTTTACAATCTTGTTTACATCTATTTGTCTCTTTCTGTGCTGCTGTAGAAAGACATATACTTTCATAAGAAAAAGTGTATGGAATACAATTTTACTACCAACAACTAAAAAATAAAATTGAAAAAGTTACTGAAATTTTTCAAATTTATTTAAATAATAATGACTTAAATCCAATATTTTTTATATTATAATAAATTCAAAACAACTTTTATAATACTTAAACAACTTAAATATTTTTACTGTTATATTCAGCTAACTCATTAATGAGATTTATATATGTATATATGAGCGCACACATACAAGTAATGTTTTAAGTGCACTTATGTAATTTTAAATTACATTTTTGCAAATTTTTAAGAAATTACATCCAACACACAATATGCACGTAACGTGCAGTATGTATAAAGTAAAATAATAAATTGCAATAGATATTTACGTATTCTTCATTATTGTTTTATTATGCAACATAAACAAGTAGTACATCATGATATAAATAATATCCCAATTATTAAAAATATCCTTATCATGTAGTGACAGATATTTGTAGAAATCAATATGTTTGAAAATATGAAGTAGTTTGCTTTAGATTTCAGAGAATTCTTATAGATTTAAGTTTGTCTATGTAAGTTTCGCGTATCCGAAACTAAAATTATTTCATTAAGTATATTTATTTTGCCTTATATCTAGTTATTGTTATGCATTATAATAATACATGTACAAACCATAAGAGCAATTTTTTAAACTGAATCAGTCTAATATAATTCTGTTCAAAATGCAAACAAATGAGAAATTATCACAATTGTAATACAGATATTTGTTTCTTAATGTATAGTGATGATTTCATCTAAACATAAATACTTTTCATCAGTCTTGAACTTACACGTAACTTTTAATGTTTAGGAAGCATTACTTCACCATGTTTTTATGATTTTCTATTAACAAATTCAAAAGTTTCTATTTTTATAAATCAATGAATAGTTAAAAATATATAGTTCCTACGAAATTAGAGATTGAAAATATGAAATGTAGATGACACAAATGGTTTCTTTATTTTTTAAAACAGTCTGTTATTTTTATTTTAATGAAATCAGCTGTGGTTTCATATGCCCTGTATCTCCAAAAGTCCATAATGTTACAATGCCATCTGGATAAATAATAATCCATGTAATACTGCCATGATACAAGCCTAAACGTAACCAACTTTTAGCTGGAAATTGCAATGCTCTGAAATAAGTAAGTATTAAAGATTTTCAAAAAAAAATAAATAACATATAAAAAATAGTGTACCTGCATACAAAATATCTAATAACATTTGCATGACAAACAAGGATAGTATAAGAATCTTTTTCTTGATTAAAATCTGCACGATGAAAATATTTTCTAAATGCAGCTTCTATTCTAGGTCCATCTCTATAAAACTGGAAAGTATTAATGTTATATAACATTACTCAAAATATAAGTAATACTAATTTTCTTAAAAGTATATATATTAAAGTTTTAAATTCACATAATCAATGATACATTTACATTTACTTCAGGTTTCCAGTGAGATGATGGTGGTTCAGGTTGAATTGGTGCACCCTCATTAAGAAGTGAATCATCCTTCACCACTATATTTTCAAGACTTTTTTTTATAATGTTACCAGTTTCCTGTGCACGAGTCATTGTTGAATGTATAAGTGAAGTATATGACAGTCCTAATTCTTGTAATCTTTTTCCTGTTGCATCAGCTTGTTTTCTACCTTTATAATATTTTTTAAGTTTTGTAATCATTAATATTTATTACTTTATAATTGTGAGTTTTAAGAGAAAATTTTATATAAAGTAGCAGAGATTATTCAATTAAATGTAATTTCAGGTAAAATAACTTTGTATAATATACTGATATAAAACTTCAAATATTATGATTTTTAAACTATTTAGTATTATCCATATAAACACAAAAATAATAAATATACAATTATTAAAGTGCAAGAATTAGAACAAAATTACAAATTATTAAAATATAAACAACATACAAAAAATACTGACCAAGATCTGTAAGTGTTCCATCTACATCTGTTTTAGCTTCTGTATTATATTGTCCATGACGAATTAAAATGATGTGACGTGTAGCTTTGGTTGTTTTGCTTGCTAATTCCTTGTTATATGTGTTTTGGTCAGATTCATTGTTTATTTTCATTGGTTTTACTAAGCTCTTTGGGTCTCGTCTATAAATCAAGTCAAAAACAAAGAAATAGGATAAAACTAATTGTCTTAGTAACAATGAAAATGTGTAATTAAAAATAAACATATACACAAGCATAAAAAGAATGTATTAAAAATAAGTTAAATGATTTATATACATAATTAAACATCTTCCAGATATATTAGAATGTTGCAATAATAATATTATATATGCAACACATAATTTTCATTATGAGAAATACAATATTAGATAATACATAGGGAAACAGCAAATGCTTAATAGATACATTTGTTTAATAAAATATTAATAATTTGATTTAAAAATTTCACATAAAATTAAAAGTTATTTATTATTTGCATAGTAATTAACAAAATTTTGTTTGGTTTAAGCGATTTAATTTTTTATTAAAGTAAAATTCAAAGGTTGTTTTTATTTATTTATCTATAATACATAGCAAGGAAAAAATGAAATAAAATCTCAATTACATGTTACCATTAAATTACGAAGTCAGTGATATTTTTATGGATAACAACGAAAATGATGACAAAGAATATAACCTATCCCAGTTCGGATTCCATTTGACCCAAGGTGAAGAGTGTGCTATCCAAGAATTGTGCTTTTGTGACTGTTGATTATTATCATCATTTGGATAAAAGAGCATCGCACCACTTATTGCGCCTAACCCTGTAATCCATTTTTTAAAACTTGGGCGTATAGGCATCGTTACAATAAGTTATAACCATCAAATTTTCAGGATCACTAAACCAGTGTTACAAAAAGTTTAGATCTTAGAAAACTTTCCCCACTTTTCACTGCCATAGTTGGGAACACTGTCTGATTCTATGTGTCATGTACAATATTACTATTTAGTGAATACAATTATTTCCCGTAAAAACATTTCCTGGTAAATTTCGCAGCAGTCTACATTCTCGATTTCGCGCAATTTTCGAAGTTTTCCGGTCAAATTTCGGGATTTATACGAACTTAGAGAGTTTTGGGATGATTGAGAAGTAATTTATTTACGCTACTTGCTGATTCCGATAATTTTTCGCACGTTTGAGAAATAGTTAATTTGCATTACTTGCTCCGATTACGAAAATTTTCTAATTTTTTCAAAGCTAGTTAGTAGTGTGAGTCAATAATTTCTCAGATACTCGAAAAATCTTGACGTCTGATAAATGGTTGACTTCACTAATTAGCTTCGATTCTAAAAGTTTTCTAAAATGTCTCGAAGCTAATTAGTAAAGTTAACCATTTTTTAGATGTCCAAATTTTTAGAGCGTCTGAGAAATTATTGGCTCACACTACTAATTAGCTTCCAGAAATAGAAAATTTTTATAATCGGAGCAAGTAGCATAAGTCAACCATTTCTCAGACGTTCAAAATATTTCGGAATCAATAAGCTATTTCCGTGCAAATTTCTAAGTTTTTTACTCGAATTTTAGGATTTTTACGATCTTTTCAAATTTTACGCGTTCCTAAATTAAATAAAGTATTGTATTAACAATAAGGAATTCAGTCTTTATTTATTTTAATGTACTTACGACATATTTCAAATATTATATCTAATTACAACTTCAACTATTTACTAGGAACTGTTAAAAATATATATTTTTTAAATACATTTTAAGTGGAATTTCATTGTTTCATTAAATGTTATTTTCACGTACACATCTATGATGTTTACAATTTTTATTGATATGAATCCATTAAAAGATTACCATCTTTGTCTTTAATACGTATTCTACCATTTGAATACCGCGTTTCCTGAGTGCCATCAAGATAGATCAGTTTCATAGTACCATCAGGATATTCTCGTCTCTAAATCATATATAAAAGTATTAATTATATACATGCATATATGTTTTGAGTTTATTGAAAGATATTGTTTATTTTTAATAAAATAATTAACAGTACTGTTGTATGTTACCTTATGAGTTTTGGTATGTATTTCCCGTTGTCCATTTGGTAGTGTAAGAATTTTTTCTCCATTAGTAAGAATTTGAATTAATGTTCCATCAGGTTGTATCCACTTTTCAATACCACCTGATTCTAAAATTCGTAATGAACCATCTGGAAATGATACTTCCACTGCACCATTATGCAATCGTCTTTCTACTTGACCACTATGTAATAGTAAAAATATTATTTAATATATAATGAACTGTTATTTATTGAAATTTATAATGAAATAGTAAAATTAAATAATAACTTACTTAGCAAATTTTAAAATTTCTAAACCATCTGGCATTGTTGTGTGCCATGTACCTGTTGATGCATAAAAATATTTAATTTTTCCATCTCTATTAGTCTCACGAACATCTCCATTATAATATATTAATTTAGTTAAACCTTGATCAGGAAAGACTTTTTTAACATTTCCATTTGGGAAGTGATATTCAATAGAACCATCAATGTGTTGTATCTGTTTTATACCTTGTTTATCAATACTAAGTTTACTTTGGCAAGATGATTTACTTCCTACATGTGTACTAGATAATTCGTCATATAATTTTGATATCACACTTTTGTCATGATTTTCATGATATGTTTTTGTAGGAGATATAAAATGTGTGTAATCATTTTGCATATGTAACTGAATATTGCTATTAATATTATCATGATTAAAAGATATATCAGATTCTTTATATGATTTTTCACAATTATCTTTTATAATGTTTGTTTTGCTCTCTAATTGTTTAAGTTTACTACTTAAATCTGAGCTAGACTCATTTAAATTCTTAGAAGTATCGAACTGTTCTTGAATTTCTGTTAAATCTGATGTTGCTTCTTTAATCAAATTTTCATATAAATTACGTTTTTTGGCAAGATTTACAATAGTTGTTTGAGATTTTTCATTAATAACACTCTTATTACTATTATAATTATGTTCTTTTCCTTCTTCTATATATTGACTATTAATTATATTTGCAGTTTTCATTGCTGTTTCTATCAACTTCTGATCATCTTCTGATGAGACACCATTAATTTTGTGTGATTCTTTAAATTGCATATTGATCTGCTTATTAATTTGATGAATGGCTCTTGTATTTGAAGAAGTTCCAGACTTTTCCTTATTTCTAATATTACTTTTCTTTAAATTTTGTAGCTTTTCTATTTCTTGTTTTAGTTTTGAATTTTCCATTTTTAGTATCCTCATTTGACATTTATGTCTAGATTGTGCTGCATTCCATCTACTTTCCTTTATATGCGTTTCTTCTTTTAATTGTTCTAATTCTTGTTTCAAATTCTGCATTTCTTGTCTTTCCAATTTACTTTGTTGAACCTTTTCTTGTGAATCTCGCATCCTGCTTTCCAAAGCAGCTTTTTCACGTATCAGCTTTTTCTTTTCTTCTTGCAAACGATCTTCCACTAGTTTTCTATTTTCTTCCAATTTTTTTTCTTTTTCTGTGTATTCTTTATGTAAGTTTCTAGAATCTTCTTGTATTTTTTTACGCTGTATAGATAAAGATGTATTTTCTTTACGAAATATATTAATTTCTTGCTCAAGTTCCAGTAAACGATTTTTTAAAAGTTCTGATTTGAAAATAGTTTCACTTGCTTCTTGTAAGTTTTCTTTATTTTCCTGATCCTCAGTTGCAACTTCATCATCGTTACTGTTTACACATTCATCTGCTTTTTTGTTGTCACACTTGTCCATATGGTTTATTGATGCTTCAATACTATGAAAATTATCAATTTTTTGTGGTGATGAGTGATTTTGACTATAGTTATGTAAAATACTTTTTTTATCATCAGGAAATTGATCAGCAGTATCTGAAAATTCTGATTCATCTTTATGACAAATATATTGATGTATATCTACATTACAATTAGAATTATTGTTTTGTCTATTACTTTTATGGCATTGTGTTTTATAATTTAATACTTCTTGTAAATTATACTGTTCAAACGTTGGCTTATATATATTATTTTCTATTTTACCTTTTATTATCATGGGGGATTGAGGAATTTTAAATGGCATCGATGATGTTTCTATAGTAGATGTTTCTGGAGTTGAAGAATCACTCCAAACCTTTTCATCTGAAAAAGTTTTTACTGCTAATGATTCAGTTGATATACTTGATGTATCTGTTAATCCAATAGTTTTGTATTCATTATATTCAGAAAATCTAACATGAAGACTAACATCTACTTCATTATCATTTTCAACATCAGGAATATTATAAAAGTTCTGTTGATTATATATAGATTGAATTTGATTGAATAGTGTATGTCTGTTATCATTTTCTTTTGTTATATTATTTTCATTAGTATTCATTGTACCTTTATGTACACTGTTTTGGATTACTTTTTGATTCATAATAGGTGCAATATTACAATATATATCAGCATTTTTATTGGAGGTTGCACATTTGTAAACTTGATTAGACTTTAAAATTAATTGATCTTTAGGTGTTTTAATTATTGGTGTAATTTGTTTGGCATTAAGCATACCACTTTCTGTTTTACATCCAGCATTTTTTACTTTACATGGTGTTGACTGATGTAAGAAAGCAACAACTGCACTAGATGTAGAACAAAAGCTAGAATTTTCTGCCTTTTCTTCCAACAATTCAAATATCCTTACTTCTTCTAATTCTTTCTGTGTTCCAGAATGAAAATCTGAAGTATTTAACTCAACTGTATTCTTAACTTCATTAACATAATCTTTCAATTGAGAAGTATTAGATTCAGACTTACTACGAACTTTTTTCTTTGGCAGTGGAATGTTTTTTAGACATAAATGTTTTTGTGGTACATTTGTAGAATGTGTACTTTTTGATAGTTGTACATTCTTTGAAGATCGGGTAGTTTTATTGGACTTACTTTCATTTTTATATTTGAAACCAGATTGTGTATTGTTAGTAAAAGATGCACTTCGTGGTCTTGTTTTCAAAATAGTAGGTTGTGGCTGTTGATTTAACTTAAATCGAGATAAACCTTCTCCTTTTCTTAGAAATGGTTTTTTTACTTTATTTCCTAAATTAATATTAGATTTTTTAGAGTGTTCATTTTCACAGTCTTTCAGTCTTTCTTCGAGCAATGTATGAAAGTCTTTTCTTGGAGAAGGAATTGGTATATCATCAATAGAAATATGATTAATAACTGTTTTATTAGATGGTAATGGTGCTATGCCATCTATAATGAATTGTTTCACTTGTTTTTCTTTTTCTGGAGAAGATATCATTACTTTTATGTCATTTTTTATCTGAGGTACTGCCTTATCTTTTGATTGTATTTTTATGTGAGTTTTGGTATTGACTGCATCTTCAAATAATTTTTCTCCACAAAATTGTTGCTGAGAAGTTTCTTCTTCAAAGCTACTTGAATTTTGATTAAGATATGATTTGTTGCTATTTGATATTTGTGCACAACTTTCTCTCATTTCTAATTCATTATGCATTATAACTATGTTTTTCTCATCAGTTTCAGTATTTGCAATAGTTTCATTTGAGTCATTTACACTAATCATATGATCTTCATTAAGATCAAGTTCTTGTATTGATAACTCAAGTGCTTTATATATACAATCTTGTCTTTGAGTTAACATTTCTCTTTGTACTTGTTGTTGTTTCAATAATCGTTCTTGCTGTTCTAACTGCCACTGTCTCAATTTTTGTAAACGTTCAACCACAGTTGCTTCTAAGTCCATTTTTTAAATAGTAAACAATATTTAATATATTGAAGTATTCAAATATACATAATACTCAAATATTGTATAAAATGGTTAATAATTATTTACATCTTTTGAAAACTATAAATACTTCAATGATCCATATAAACATATATATACATACATATACACATGTATGACTATAAAATACTAAAAACTATTAAATGTTAGAATCCATTAAACGAAAAGGTATACATATATATCGTCACAAAAATTGAACTTATTAGTCATCTATAATTAAAGTATTTATTTTTCATATACCTTTAAATAAAACAGAGTTACAAAAATTATGAAAAATATATTACAAGCTAAATTTGTTAAACTAATTAATATGTTCTTAACTGAACACAAAAAACTTGTTTTACTATAAAACCAGTTGACAGTTCAAAAGTAATATATATAAGTATATATGTATGTACAGCACATTATAGTTTGAACCCTGCAACATAATAAAACAGTTACCTACACTGGCTGTCAGTATGTGATTGGTTACTTATGAAAATATAGTATTTTGTTAAATACACATATTTTTTTGTTATATTTTTCATGAAAATTGGATTAGTAAAGAAATTTACAGAAATATTAATAATAAATGCTGATTTATAAAATTATATGCATGATGTGCATAAATATATTATGTATGTAATACAAACACCATTTATACATACAATAGGTA